TTTACATAAGTGAGTCAGTGATTATTGCAGGGGCAGTTTATAAAGCCTTGCCTCGCCTCGTATTTCAGTTTCGAGTATTCTGATTGGTGGGTTTAAGCCATCCAATCAGAGTGCTCTGACAGGTAAATGAAGAGACTGACAGGTAAGTCTCTACATTTACCTGTCACAGCAATCTGATTGGTTGGTTTGAAATCCACCAATCAGAGTGATCTGTGTCATTTTACACAGCGTGGGAAAGTTCTTTGGAATTTTCCCACGCTGTGTAATTTTACTCATAACACTCTGATTGATGGATTAAGTAACCAATCAGAGAGTTATGAGTCAAATTACACAGCTTGGGAAAATTCCAAAGAACTTTCCCACACTGTGTAAAATGACACAGAGCACTCTGATTGGTGGATTTCAAACCAACCAATCAGATTGCTGTGACAGGTACATGTAGAGACTTACCTGTCAGTCTCTTCATTTACCTGTCAGAGCACTCTGATTGGATGGCTTAAACCCACCAATCAGAGTGCTCTGAGCCTAATTGCAGGGCGGGGCAAGGCTTTATAAGCCTTCCCCCGCCCTGCAGAGCTCAGTCTGCGCGGAGCCCTCACTGGGTGAAGATGGATTATTTTTTTTTTGCGCTCGTTTTTTTTTTGTTTTTTTTAATTGCGTCGGTTATTATGGTTTTTTATTTGGCCTTTTTTGGGGCTGAAAAAAGAAGATTTAGAAGAAAGAAAACATTGAATGGTAAGTTTTATTTATTTTTTTACAGGTACTTAGTTAAAGGTCCCCCCCTCATTATTTTTAGGGTGAGGGGGGTTGGTAGGGGGTTAATTTTTTTTGGGGGGGGGCAGGGGGTGACTAGGGTTTGGGGACCCCTAGTCACCTGGGGGGGCCCACCCCGACAGGGGGGGTTTTTTAGGTTCCCCCTTTAGTATTTATGGCCCCCCCGCTCAGGGTAGCCAGGGGAGGATTCCCAGCCGCCCCCAAATCAGCCAGGGTGGGGGCAGGGGTGGACCCCAGGTGTCCCCCTTTGTATTTATGGCCCCACCCGCCGCCAGGGTGGGGCTGGGAGGACCTTAGGTCCCCCCCCTTTTAGTATTTATGGCCCCCACCCGCCGCTCAGGGGTGGAGGCCAGGGGGGAGGACCTTAGGTGTCCCCCCCCTTTTTAGTATTTATGGCCCCCACCCGCCGCTCAGGGGTGGGGGCCAGGGGGGAGGACATTAGGTCCCCCCCTTAGTATTTAGGGCCCCCACCCACAACTCAGGGGTGGGGGCCAGGGGGGGACAGAAGTTCCCCCCTATTGTTTTTTTTAGGGCCCCCACCCACCGCTCAGGGGTGGGGGCCGGGGGGAGGACAGTAGGTCCCCCCCCATATCATTGAGTAAACTTTGACAACCCCCCCCGCCCCCACCCCAGAGCGGCGGGTGGGGGGGTTGTCAAAGTTTACTCAATGATATGGAATAGGGGGCGGACCGAACATCGCATATGTTCGCCCGCCGTGGCGAACGCGAACAAGCGATTGTCGCCAGGAACTATTCGCTGGCGAACTGTTCGGGACATCTCTAGTTAATTACTGTATCAACTCAATTATCTCCAAACGAAAAAGAACATATTTTATACACTTTCTGGAACACCCCAAAATTACATAAGAATCCCATAATAAGTATATCTCCTGATAGACCCATTCTGGGGCGGCAACATATTCAAAAATCACCCAGATCGGTTCAGGGGTTCAAAAGTTTCATGGAAGTCCCATTTCTGACCAGCCGCACACAAGGCTCCTGCCCAGAATAGTTCCATGAAATCAGCTGGTGCGGCCGGTCTCTTTCGTGTATTTCAAAGTGTCGAACAATGTCTCGCATAACCGTTCGCGTGTAATGTAGTCATGTGCCTCTTTGTTCAGTAGTTGTTTTTACCAAATGCCGCCTCATTTGGATGAATTAGGACAAAGCTAAGGGATCCTGGAAGTCTCAGTGGTGTTCGAGCCGTTGAGTGTCATAAAATAGTTCCATACACTCGACGATCAAACCCCGCTGGTCGCGTTTGATAAAACAAGATTGCCGCAGCCACGTGTTCGTACATACGAATCGATGGCCACCCAGTGAACCACTTAGAATGTTCAGAGTTGCAGTTTGGAAAAGTGTCAAATAGGTCAATTGACGGCACACAACTGCTTTGGGTGGTCGAAAGGTTCGGTAAAACGTTCGGTATACGAACCAGCTAGGGTAAGGTCTGTTCGTTTTGGTTCGCATACTGTTTAGACGAATAGGATTACGAATAAGGTTCAGAATGGCCACAAAACATAACTCCAGAGAACAGGGCATCTGTTACAGTTCCCTTTATGGGATATGGTGAGGAACGAGGTGACTGATATCCTTGGGGATTCGGTTGAGTGGTCGGGGGAACTGGCTTTGCTACACTTGTCTTCAACACCTATTTTGATCTACAAGAAATCTATCTTATGCCATTTGCTTAATGCTGCTTAGGCCCTGATTCCTGTTTTTTGGAAAAGAACAGTGATTCCCACTAAGGAGGACTATTTACGAAGGGTGGAGGATATACAGGCAGCTGAGGAGATGCATGCCTCTCTGCTTGGGACGGGTTCCAGACACGCTGAGGCCTGTCAGCCATGGTTTGTCTATGTGGCGTGTGATTTATAATGCTTGTACAGGCGGGAGACGTGGGTGGACCGCGGGGGGGCTTGCTCACCCGGACACGGGAATCCCTCTTGTTTATTTTCTTCTCATTTCTCCCTACATTATCTTTATTTACACTGCTCTCTGTCGTCAATCTTATTCTCATGACCAGTGCAGGGAAGGATTGAAACTCCCTCCTAATATTAATATTAGCCTAACTAGTATAATAAAGGAAACCTCTGGTTTATGCTACTGCTGGGGTACTCTCGGTGCATCATGTTTCCAAACTGACTGTCACTTTATGGCAGTTTTGAGTTGAGGGATGGCTGTCGTTGGTGGGCTGCTCCAGAGAATGAGCTCTTGTACACTGTATCTATCTGTTTAACTGATCGGTTTGTACAGCATGTGGCCTACGTGCCTATCAGGTCTTGCTTTTGTGAATACCATTTCTATGTGAAAGAAATAGACAGATTTCGGGGGGACGGGGGGAAGAGTGAAAATACTGTAGCAACTTCAGTACAAGTTTCAGGGGAGAGACAGGAGAGTGTAGTTGCAATCTGGCATGCTTATCTATAGATTGGTAAATATGTTGGATTTTAAATCTGAATTATTGGAATTATCATCTTTGTTATTCATTTAGCAGTTTATTTTTTAGTTTAGCAACCAGACGAATTAATGCCTGCCGCTTAGAATGTACACTGTACAACACAGAGTTCTATACAAAATACATAAAAACGTTAGGGGCTGGGAGTAACATTTTAGTTAATGTAGTTTACTTGTTCCTGAACTACTGTTAGAAAAGTGTAGCTGGATTGCATAGCAAATCACCTGTGTAATATGTAATAACTGTTTCATAATGTTCACACTAACCGTTGTATAACTTCTGTTTTGTTGTGATACATCTACTGTTTCATATTTTAGTACAAATTTCAGGTTTTGAATGCTTGAACGGATAGGAGACACAGAGGGCTTGCGGGGGACTCTCTTTCCTCTTTTTCTCTTCGTCTACTTATATACTATTTCTTTCTCTCTAAGCTGTCCTCTCTCGCAGGCCTTATTTCTATGATAAGAGATGGGAAGGATTGAACTTTACAAACAGCACGGGATATCTTATAGTAACACAGGAAGGCACGGACAAAAGTTACTAATGGGGAATGTTCTGCATCTCATGATACCATTATATTTTTAATTATAATGTGTCTCTGGAAAAAACATCCGCAGCTATGTAAAATCTGACAATATATCTGGATCTATACAAGATGTATATTTGTGTCTTATCTGCATATATGTATGTATTGAGGCCTGCGTGCCTACAACTCTCTCTTCTTGAATGCACTAATCAGTTACTATGGCAGATATGGCTTTGATTGGTCCACATCAACCTTGCGACTCCAAAAAGTGCTGAAACGAGGTTGACAAGCGCAATTCCGAACTGTAATGACATTCCGCAAACATTCGGCACTTAAGGACTCACCATTCAAGTGCACTGCATCTTAATTGCTATGTGGAGGCAGACCATAAGACCAAATGGTGCATTCGACATGTATCACCTGCAAGGAAGCCCGAATCAGTGGCGTCGAGTGAGTAAGTATCCTGACAAAAATACAGCTTTATAGATGCAAGTTCATGGGTGGATACTAACAACGCAGAAAGGAAGAGGGGAAGCTTAAAAGGATTCTATAGTGTTAGGAATGCAAATCTGTATTCCTAACACTATAGTCCCACCTTTCCCCGCCTCCTTTAAAAAAAACCTTTAGTCACTTACCCGATTCCAGCATCGAAATCCCTTGGTGATGGGTCGGTGCTGCGCCTTCTTTTGAAAATAATTATGTTCACATACAGCTATATGGCTGCGCTATAGTGGCATAAATAGGAAGCTGCATTACAAAAACTAGAGGTCTCTCTATAAGCAGGGCATTTGGCCATTTTAATGTATCTTTGCTTCTCACACCTACTGTATATCAACAACAGTATATGCCTACTTTTACATTAATATGTCAGACCACAGGAAGGGAAAGTCTATCATATAACACTTAAAAGGGTTAACAACAGCAAATAATTAATTTAAAAATGCCAAAACAGCTAATACAATACATAACATTACATAACCTAGTGACAGGGTTCAATAGGCTGCCTGCAAGTGCATATACCAGTCTATAGGGTGCAGCAGGACTATTCATTAAGTGAGGATTCAAGGTGAATTTAAAGTCAATTTGAAATGTAAGGTCTAAATGGCCAAAAATCCTCTAAGTCAGCTATCAGTTTAACTGCTCTGACCTTAAATGTGAAATTCTCTTTGAATTCACTTTCAATTCTCAGTTTATCTAATGACCCTGTAGAAAGACTTCTAGAATTTAGAAGGAATGAGGTGGAGGCTGGTGTTTTGGAGGAGAGGGGAAGATGTCCCAAAATGTACACTGTACAATTTACATTTTTGTTATAACTGAGGTACTTACAGCCTTCTCAATCCCGTCAGGTGTAATTACTCAAGTAAGAATTCAAGGTGATTCAATTCAAAATTGAATTTAAAAAAAAGCATTTCAAATTAAAGGTCAGAACAGCAAAAACTTGAAAAAGTCTCTAACTAAATTATGCTTTCAATTCGGCAATTCTGGACTTAAATGTAAAAATCCTAGATTCCCCACTTTATTAAATAAACAGTCGAAAATATCCTGTAATCATTTTTTGCCACAGGGGGCAGCCGTCTGCAAGGCACAATAACGGCTATGCTGTCTGCACAGAGAATGCAGATATCCACATAGGGATTGATGCTCTGAATCAAGGTACACGTCTTATTTTTCTCTTCACTGGAAAGCGTTGCTGACAGGATTCAAGGTAAGCCCTGGCACACGCCACTTATGATAATATTTGATAAAAAAAAGCTTGTGTCATATATAGAGGAAGAATATGATCTACTTCTCTTCATGGACTTTAATGGCTATAACATTTTGGGCGTAGTTCACGTTATTTCCAGCGCTTGAATAATATACTTGGAACTAGTGCTGTTTTCAAGGATTATAGTATCAGCAGTGTTACTGAGGTTTGTGGGTCAATGCAATGGTTTCAATTTAGATTTAAAGAGACAGTCGCTGGGTTAATAACGTAAGGCCATTGTGTACCTACAGTGTTGCTTTGTGTGCTCCCTGATGCTGTGTGCTTGCTAGCCCTGGGGTGGGCTGACAACTAGATACATAAAGGGAATGATACATTTAGAGCAACATCATGACTGAGCTTATTTGAAGGATTCTATGCAGAGAACGCCTGAAATGCTAAGAATCAGTAGTCATTTTATTTTAGATTTGTATAATATTCACGCACAACAGACAGAATCACAGGGTGACAGCCTGATTTTCTCATTGCTTGCATGGCTTCTTGAAAATACCCTGCTGCTGGCGTTTAGATCAGCGCATGAGCATGGCTGCCATACAGTATGGGGTGCCTGCGTCAGGTTTATCCTTCAAGAAGATAAGACATCATACAACATGGACCATGTGGACAGCTCATCTCAGCAGCTCTGCTTATATTTTGGGATTTACGAAGTGCTGGTGTCCTAGCCAGAGCCCACTGATGTGCATCGGAGGGTGTCATACACAATATTCAATGAGCAATGTAACCATGTTATAATGTTAACACTCGGATATCGTTTGCTGAAGAAGATATCATTCTAGAGATGTAGGTTTGTTGTTGTAGGTCAGCCATACAAAAAATAGAATCATGCAGATTGCTAGAATTAACAGAATTAAAAGTGTAGCCATTGAATGTGGTTTGCAAATGAGTGTTAAAGGAATGGGACAGAGAGAGAGAGAGAGTGAGTGTGTGGTGTGTGTTTATGTATATATATATATAGTGGTGTTGCTTTGGTGAAAGCATATTTTAAACCTTTACTCCCTCTTCCCAGCCCATGCATTGCTTCATGTTTTACTCTATAAACAACACAATCTCCCATATTCTTATTCCCCTTCCATGTTTATTATTTCAGTCCATACACTCATTATCTCGTTTTATTGAATTAATTATTTTACACTTCGTGATGTCTTTCCCCTCATCTGTACTTGTGGTGTTTGTGTATTTTCCATCAGTAGTTTGCTCATTCCCCTCTCACTTCCTGTCATTTTGACATTAAATAGTCATTTAGTGAATATTTCGAATAGAACTAAATTTACAAAGGTCATTTATAGTAGTTTCAGATGTGCATTAGGTATGGCTCATAACATGTATAACCAACAATATAGGGATATAACGATATAAAAAACAATATATGGATACAGCTATATATAACCAACAATATAGGGATACAGCTATATATAACCAACAATATAGGGATATAACTATATAAAAAACAATATATGGATACAGCTATATATAACCAACAATATAGGGATACAGCTATATGAGCCATTAATTACTTTTATGGAGCATAACATGCTTATGATTGATTTGGCACATTATTATTATTATTATTAGTAGTAGTAGTATTGCCATTTATATAGCACCAAAAGATTCCGTAGCGCTTTACAATATTGTGAGAGGGGGGTTGTATTACAAGAAAACCTACAGGAACGATAGGTTGAAGAGGACCTTGCTCAAACGAGCTAAAAGTCTATAGGAGGTGGGGGTATAAAACACATTAGGACAGGAAATAGTAATCAAATAAGGTGGGAGTGAAGCAGAGCTGGAGGAGAGACAGTATAAAGAGAAAATAGAAGGGGACCTATGATTTGCTACTACTCTTACAGACACTTTCAGTTATAATTAATCTATCAAGCCTAAAATAATACATATAGATTTGTTCACTAAACATTAAATCATGGTGAATTGAAAACCTGTTGGCAAAACTTAGGGGAAAAAGAGATGATTTGGTCATAATTCTTCAACTAAAAGACAGCTATTTAAGACAGAATGTTGCAATTCAGTTTTCATTTCATCACAGCTAACACAAGGTTACTTACTAAACTGTGAATCGTCAGGAATTAGTAAAGTAACATTCTAGACATGTAAAAAATTAACATTTAGCTACATGGAACATATTTCATCCATTTTGCCCTAAACCTTTAATTGAATTTGTGCTTTGAGAGTCTTTTGAACGCATTCAATTATTTATACCCATGTATTAACGACCCAAAACCCAATCATTTAGAGCCTGTGAAACTGGTTGAGATGGGCTTGCTGTATGGTAACAATGTAATAGTTGCACATTGCAATGTTCTGGTAAATGTTGTACAGAACTGGATCAATCAGTGCACTGCTAATTGACCTCTGCCTTCCATGTGACCACTCGTGCACTGAATTACATATGTGAATATGCCTGCAGAAATATCCCGATGCTGGGGACATTGTATTAGTCTCTTTTCTCTGTCTTACTACTTACTGTGCTCCTAAGGCATTCAGAGACAGAAATATGTGCGAATGTGCTAAAACTTTATATTTTCTTGTTACAATATATTTTTTAATAAAATAACATATTGGTAATCAGTTACAGTAGTGGTTTTTTTCACCCTCTGAAGTTTTTTTTATTTACCAGTTTATTATACAATATATTACTTCTTATCTACTATGAATATTAAACATGAGTCTCCTAAGCTTTCAGGAAATGCTGTAGGAAATACATCTGTGGTCTCTTTTATCAGTTCTACACACTCTACAGGCATTAACAAACTGGCAATATGCATGACAAGTAGAGAAACCAAAATATATTTTTAAAAAAAGCAAAATTAAATGTAGCCACAAAAAAAAAACCAAAAAAAAAATGAGGTTAAGGTTACTGCAGTACCAGAGAGAAAGTACTTAGAGGTGTTACATAAAATATAAATAACTCTAGACTGAGCTGCAAGATCCTCTCACTGTAGCTCCAGGGACTACAGAAGTATATCCAATAATAAAGAACAAAAGAGATCTGCGCCAACAGATGCTTTGTGCACACCACAGTGTTACAAATGTTTATTGAAGAACACACACGCAGAAGCAAATGTTTTGGGCACAAGCCCTTTATCAATGCAATGTCCTTTAAACCACAGTGTGAACTCACCAGTATAAATACAGCATAACATGAACAATGAAGTGTACAGGATTCCCATGTGCCGCCGCCCCCCTGGAAGTAGGTGCAGGTGTGCGCCTGATTGCCGCGTGTTTCCCCCATCTTTCCGATGCACCCAGCATCCTACGCAACCATGTGTTACATTGTGACGTCGTACGTCTTTATTATTCAAAATAAAATGTAGGATTGGTATAAAAATTAGATTTGTGCTTTCAGCTTCAAATGAATTGTGATTCATCAGAATTTTGTGTGATTGGTGGTTCTTTCAAAATTTAAAACTCTGAAAGGGACAATGAACGAAACCATTCAGTTTGTATATTGATTCCGAGAGCCATCTGTAGCTCTCCCCCCTCCCTCCCCACCAAAAAAAAGATTATTGATGGATGAAAAGATGATTGATGGTAATTGGACAGCCACTGTATGAGGGGGACAAGGAGGAGTAGCACAAATATATATATATACATATATTGAGAGAGAGAGATTTGTTTTTGTTTTACTGTTCTTTATTTTTTTCCTCCGTTTCTCACTTGATCTGTGCACCAAAGGTGCAAAATTATAAACATAACATATATATTTGCATTGATTGGCCTATTTTTGCACCCTTTGGCTCATCTGAATAGTTTTTCCTAAATTGTTTGCATGGAGGAAACCCATCTGAGCCAAAACACCACATGGACAAATCTCAAATCTGCTGAAACAATCTTTTTTGTTTTCACACAAACTACATTTTGTTTGCTGCGCCCAATATACAAAACCAATATTTATATTGCTCTTTTTCCTTGGTTTCTCTGGTCTCTTCTTTCTACCTTTGGGATATTTGAGAGAGATAATGACATAATCCACAGGGAAGAACAGAACAGACTTCCAGCAGCATATTGGTGGGGCTATAATATTTTTTCTAGAGTTATTGCGTGGCCTGCTCACAACAGAATAAATATTTATGAATGGCACATTGTGGAATGAATACCTATTCGGTATTTAGAGTGCTCTAGTGGCTATTTTGTTGTTTCCATATTTGTGATAAAAAGCACCTAGAGAAAAATAGGCTTACAATCATAAAGTGATACTCTAGAGAACAGCACAAATTGTATGCCTTTTGTAGCTTTTATCGAAATATATAACTGCTTTTTTATTTGCATGTCCAATTTTGTATGCTTGGTTTTGCAAATAAAAACACCTGCAGCATTCTGTATACATTCATTCATGTATTCATGTATAAGAGGCAGAGCAAAGATTTATAAAGTTGGTGTTTAGGTAACATGTTTCCTAAGAAGTAAACTAATAGATTTCTCTGAAATCTGCAATAATCCCCACCCTTGCAGTGCTAGGTTAAGCACCACACTTCAGATTCTGTAGATCAAAGATGTACCTAGTTTACATGGCATTTGGGACCAGAATGAATTTCCCCACCGACACGGAACAGTAAAAACATTTTTTATATTTCCTTCTGCACCACCCGCAACACTTTGTTTTTTGGGAAATTGCACACACATGCTGACAGTGGTGTATTTTCGTTTTGTGCTTAAACTTGGGCACCCAACCAATTTAAAATTTGCCCCGCTCCTTCCTGTCA